CCGCCTCCTCGATCAGCGCGCGGAACTCCTCCTGGCTCGGGAAGCGCTCGATGCTCTCGACGAGGTACTGGTAGGAATCGCGATCCCCCGCGACGAGCTGGCCGATGAGCGGTATGGCGCCGAAGCTCCAGCGCTTGTAGAGCGCGTCGAAGGCCGGGTTCCGCACCTTGCTGAACTCGAGACACGCGAATACACCTCCGGGTTTGAGGACGCGGTGCGCCTCCGCCAGCGCGGCGGGGATGTTGGCGAAGTTGCGGATCCCGAAGGCTACCGTGTACAGGTCCACGGAGTCCGCGGGTATGGAGGGGGGGAGGGTGGTGGCGTCCGCCTCGAGGAAGGAGAGCGCTGCTTGTTGGCTTGCGGGGAGGGAGGCGCTGCGGGCTTTGCCTACGGAGAGCATCGAGGGGTTGATGTCGGAGATTGTCACGCGCACGGACGGGTTGGCGTTGATGGTGTGCGCGTGGTGCAGCATTCGGAAGGCGATGTCGCCGGTGCCGCCGGCGATGTCGAGGATGTGTTGCGGTTTTGGCGGGGTCGAGGCGGAGAAGCCTGGGTTGAGGGAGGTTACGAAGTGGTCTCTGTGTAAATGATACTACGGTTAGCTTAGGGACTACCTCGGAAAAGAATAGATGGCATTGGAGAACAGAGGAGAGGAGAATTGGGGGTTTAGGGAAGGGGAGAAGTTAAGGAGTAAACGTACTTCCAGATGCGATGCCATCCAAAGGACATCAGATCGTTCATACGGTCGTAGGACTCGGCTACGCTATGAAAGACGCCGGCGACGCGCTCCGTCTTCTCGGACTCGGAGAGGCCGTCTTGGAAGCCGAAGTGCGTCGTCCTATTACTACTACTGCCGCCGTCATTCTCGGCGGGTGCCGTCGGCGAAGAGACGGGCTTTCGGCTCGGTATAGTCGTACAGAATAGTCTTACAGGTCGAGAGCAGGGGGAATTAGGTATGGTAGATCGGGGTAGTCGTACAGCTGCGCGCAGGATCGAGGACGGACGGGCGGCCATGGTGCTGCGCTGTTGTCGGTGTGGTGGCCGCGAGCAAGCTATGTTTTTTTTTTCTCTAGTCAGCCTCAACAGCGGTCGAAGATCTTATGATGATGTCGCGGACCGGCGGCCGAAAATACTGTGTAGCACTAGCACGGACGGTGTCCTTGTGTGGCGCAGGTGTGGGGGAGCTATGTATCTGACGGATGGGACGATCGACTGATGGCAGGCTGGACCTGTGGGGGAAGATCGGTGCCTTCAGGGGGATGGCGAGCTGGGCACTAGCCACGCGCTGCAGGGGAGAGGTTGGCTTGATGCCAAGACTTCTCCAAATCGTCTAAGATGATTGGACGAAAACCGAATATATTTCGATATGATATTTCGATATTATATTTCGATAATGCTTATACTTCAACTTACCTCGTTATACAGAGCTTGCTCCAGAAGAGCCTCGTGCTTGTGACCCGGCACGTAGCTGCTGTGCGCGCTTGGCGCTGAACATCAGAAGGGCAAATCTCTCGCTGAACTTGATTCCTCGCCAGGCTATGTATCCGATGCCCGCGAAGATGAGGAAGAGTGTGAGACCGATCCCTACGTTGGCTGCAACGGACATTTTCAGCGTTATGGATGTGCTAGTGCTAGTATATTGCGTTGGCCGAAATTTCCCGAGTTGAATATGAGTGAAAATGTAGGTGATGAGATGAGGAAGAGTATAACTGTCTTGGTGGGTTTGTTAGAGGCAGTAGTGAGGTGAGATGGTGATGGTGAAAGGTTTGGTAGACAGAATTAGATGGAAGTTTGACCTTTTGCCTGCTCTGTTTATTATGTATCGAGGCGATTGTGCTCGGTCTCAGGTCAACATATCTGTGTTGATTCTTGTTGCTAGAGCCCAAACTCTGCGACTGCTTCGCCGATTTACGTTTTGGTACCATGGCAACAACATGACCTAGATATCTAGCTCGGCAACATCTCTTCTATAACTTCAAAAAGTACACGTAATCCGACTGCATTCTTCATACACTATACAGTTTACAATTGTAGTAATTATTGTAATTTTAATGATCGTTGGCTTTACAAGTTCTCAAGATGTCACATTTGTTGTGACTTACGGCTTATATAGGCTATGTAATCGCATGTACTCTAGTATATATGTATAGGGGTATAAGAATAAATGCATGTTTCCTACTAGCTTCAAACTTGGATATGAAATAACTTCACTTCAATGTGAGGCTATTGTAGACTGAATTATTAGATTTATAGTCGGTGTGGTCCATATTAAGCGATTAGAAAGTATACCTAGTAGTATAACATGGGTTGCCAAGAACATCGCAATCCACGGGTCTACACGGCTCGCTTTGCACCGGCTTAAGTGACGTCGCCAACCTCCATATCCCGAGGGATGTCAGACGAACAACAGTAGGACGTTGTACGGCAATAATATTGTTCTTCTCTAGAACGCCTCAATTCAATTGGTCTAGAATTGACACGCACACGCCCTATTTGTGACAAGAATGCTACGCCGTGAACATGAAGACGCGAATGCTTTCGAAGGCGTCCCTGCAGAGAGCCGGCTACTGCGTCGCCCGCAACCCTCGTTCTCCACGCTTCCAAGCTCCAACAGCCGTTCGGTGTGCTAGCAGCATCTCGCAACGACCTGGATCAAGCCACGTCTCCTTTCCCGGCGCCGTGAAGAGCGCGTTCACCAGTGATCTCAAATTCGTCCTGCCCTCCGACTACCCTGCCCTGCCGACCTACCGGGTTGTAGACCAAGATGGCAATATCGTCGACCCGTCGTTCCAGCCGGACCTCAGTAACGAGGAAGTGGTCAAGTTGTACAGAAACATGTTGACTATCTCGATAATGGATACCGTCATGTTCGACGCGCAGCGACAAGGTCGTCTCAGCTTCTACATGGTGTCGGCCGGCGAGGAAGCCATCAGTGCTGGGTCGGCGTCGGCGCTGGACCGAGAAGATGTAATATTCTGCCAATATCGCGAGCAGGGCCTCTTTGCGCAACGTGGATTCACTTTGAAAGACTTCATGGACCAATTGTTTGCAAATAAGCAAGATTTAGGAAGAGGAAGAAACATGCCAGTGCACTACGGGAGCAAAGAGCTGAACATTGTAAGTCTACACCAAAGTTGCGTCTAGCATGGGCCTAATTGCTGACACCCTTTAGCACACGATCTCGTCCCCTTTAGCGACACAGATCCCACAGGCTTCCGGCGCAGCGTATGCCCTAAAGATGCAACGCATAAATGACCCTTCCTTGCCTGCTCGGATCGTTGCCGTCTACTTCGGTGAGGGAGCCGCCAGTGAAGGCGACTTTCATGCCGCGTTGAACCTCGCTGCAACACGTTCCTGTCCAGTGATTTTTATTTGCCGAAACAATGGCTTTGCCATTTCGACACCCACCTTAGAGCAATACCGAGGGGATGGCATTGCTAGCCGCGGTATTGGATATGGGATCGACACGGTCAGAGTGGACGGCAATGATATATGGGCAGTCAGAGAAGTCACGAAAAAGGCAAGGGAAATGGCCCTTCAAGACGGAGGCAAGCCAGTCCTGATTGAGGCAATGAGCTACCGTGTCAGCCACCACAGCACGTCTGACGACTCCTTTGCATACAGAGCTAGAGTTGAGGTCGAAGACTGGAAGCGTCGGGATAATCCTATTTCGAGGCTACGGAAATACATGGAAGCGAAAGGATTCTGGGACGAATCCAAGGAGAAAGAAGCACGAGAAAGCCTCAGGCGGGACGTGCTAAAGGCCTTCTCAGAGGCCGAGCGAGAGAAGAAACCGCCCATTCGAGCCATGTTCGAAGATGTATACGAGGAGTTGACACCCGACTTGAAGGCCCAGATGAGGCAATTGAGGGATCATCTAGAGAAGTATCCCAATGAATACGATTTGGGCGAATACGAAGGCGGAAAAAGTAGCCTAGACTCATAAAAATCCTACCGATTTAGAACCCCTTTGAGTTTCCTCGCGGTTGATCTGCTGCCTGTGCCGTAATGCTACTCTCACCTATGTAAACCTAGCTTTCAATCCAGCCCTTTTTTGCTACAACTAGAGTTGCCCAGCGTGGATGCAAGGTTGGTCGATGGGTCGAGGGGTGACGATGGCAATATGTTTTAGTGGCCGGCTCGACCAAACAACCAACGCTCGTTAGCCACGTCGGATAAAGAATGGAGAACTTGGCTCAGGGACAAGACAGCATGGGCTTTTAGCGCCAGAATATCGACCATTTCATGCTATTCACGGACGCTACATGGAGGTATGTATGTACGTTAGGCATCGATAATGCAACATAATACCGCAGTTCCTTGCGAAAGCACTGAAGTTCTGTCGATACAGTTGATACTGGTTGAAGCAGCGTTTGGGTGAGGTACCTATGATTATCACTATAAAACATATGGCAGGTGTCTGCCCTATGTCTGGTGTAGGTTTATACTCACGAGTACTTTTCTATCATCTAAGTCTTTTATATATAGGCACAGAATACAAAGTTCTTATATGTATGCTTTTTTTTTTTTACAGGATTATATAAATACAGGGCCTTATCGTTACCTATACTTTTATGTAGCTCTTATATATGCATATACTGTATATAGTCGATCCAGCGCAGAAGTAGCTTTGAGCTACCGAAAGCAGGCACAATTAATCTCAATTGGGGATCTGATCTATAATTATTCTCCGCGGTATCACTGACATATAAAACTAGGCATGGGGTTCATCGCATTATACCCAAACAAGGGATATATTGTATTTATGAGATACCATTTTCAGTTCAAGTTGAACGAGCATAGCATAGAGTTGTGACTAAGCCCTCTACATATGTCTCATGCTCTATGCCGTACTCGTTCAACGAGGAAAAAAAAGTTTGCAGCTCTATGCACCTGGTTGCAATTGTAGTATTTCTTGGATTGACTCAACTCTGGCCGCTCCTTTAAATACTTAAGTATGTTACAAAGCACAAGAGGGAGAAGAGGAAAAAAGAAATATGTGACGAGAGTGGGACTCGAACCCACGCGGATTGCTCCACCAGGAATTAAGTGCTAAGGTGACCTTAACCTGACGCCATAACCTGTGCTGAATTAATACATGGTGTCATTGGACGAAGGAAGAGGCTTCGGATAACTTACCAACTCGGCCATCTCGCCTCTTGTGATTGATGGACCGCAATAAAAATATAGAGCTATATATACCGCATTGTCTGTCTGCAGCTAGCAGGAAAAACTTGTGAATTTAGCATCAGCTAGTTTTATTTGCTTGTGGCTTCTTAGGTGTTGTAGCCCCTCTTTCCCAATGCGGGGCAATCCGGTCATGTATGTAGCGACAGTTCTTCTGGTTATTAGGTACATGTACATACATGTCATAGGGGATATTGGGCTGTTCATGGACTCTCCAAATACGTATCTACATTGCAGACCAGGCGAAGGACGGAATTGGATATTGTCGAAGATGGACATGGTACAGTTATGACCGACCACCTCACTGAACGTACTGTTATACGGATACCTATGTAGCTACATATTTCCATACTTGAACCATAGTCGAAACCGTTATTGATCGACAGCTGAATAGCCGGTTCTTTTCTGCATTTCCATCCGTAGGTATTATCATCCATCTCTTGAATCATACAAGCAACTAGGTAACTCGCACAACATCTGGAACTAATAAGGTAACTAACAAGGCTGGTGCCGCTGCTCGGTGTTGGTAGTCTCACCCCTGCCTTTTAGTCGAAAGCGGTTGACAAGTCGACATAAGGAGATAACAGGCGTAACAGGACAGCCAGGATAAGGCACAGTATGTCACTATGCGGGAAAAAGACGATCCACAGCATCCCCCATAACGCATGTAGGCACTCCAGAGGGGTGTTACCAGTAGATAGGTAGCAGGGAAGGGACGGTTACGCGGGCTATGAAGCAGGCTGATGACCGGGTGTCTGCGTCAAATCCACAATTAATCATACTGTTATTAGGTAGGCAGCCCACAGTACTAACAGCGACCACACCCAAGCCGCCAATGTAGTCTAGTTTAATAAACTCCCATGCTCCCTCCGGATCGCTCTCGCACTAGTCGAACCTCCAACTGCTTCGTATAGGTATTCTGGGAAGCTCGACGACGGCCACAGTCTTCGTTTTCCATCAGTTGTTTGACCATTCTGTAACGGCGAGACTGCGGATGTTGCATTTACGGAATCTTCGTTGTTGTCTGCTCGTCTGATTCGACGACGTTGTCCTTCTCCATCCGATCCGATCCCCACGTAAGAAGCCAGAAGCCAGAACCGAGCGTGTAGCCGACTTATCGAAATCGTCCATCCGTCGCCGCCTGCCTCATGGCGTAATCCATGGCAGACCGAAATTTCTTTGCTGCGAACCCGCGCTCTCGATCGGCCGCCGACAACTACTCCCCAGCGCGACTTCCCTCAGTCTCAGACTTGAATCCGAACTCGAACCTGAATTTTAACTCGCGACCAGCCGCCCCTGCCTCGTCGCCATCCTCTACCTTATCCTTATCCCCCAGGTACGATACAGATATACCTATCTACAATCTACATCAATACACACACAGGCACACACAACACACACGCACCAAGAATAATACCTTGGTACAACCCAAAAGCACCACTTTAATTTTCCCGAATCCTGTCCATCCTCTCTCCTCGACCATCTCGTCACCTTTTTCTACATATTCCTACCCATCCTCAATTGCACCCCCCATGAGACATCAACCTGTACTGCCTCGTCGCCCACAGTAACCGTCTAATGTTTGAGGGAGGGGTTGTTACCAGCTTCACGCCCCGAGCCTTTGTAGTTGCTGCAGCAGTCCCCCTCTACTCTCTTTCGTCTTAGTCACATACATACATCCATTCTTTCAGCTGCGCTTGATAGTGGACAACTTCACGCAATGCTTAGGTTCATGCAGCGCTTTGTACCAAAATCCTGAACCTTAAACTCGTACCCGAGGGCTAGCTATCCTATCTGGCGTCTAACCTACGCTTGGGTGGCTGCTCTAAAAATTTCCTATCTTTTCTTCGATCTTGCATCCTCCCACAGATCCTCACTCAACCCCCCCGAGTCTCGACATCTCTGTGTGCCACTCTGAATGCAGTATCGATTGAATACTCATGTCTTCCAGACTTACCCGTTCCTCCGCGCGTAACGCAGCGAGCCAAGCAGGCGAGCCAGGAGGAGCATCACCTGCTGAGGTTTCTGGTACCTCTCCGCCCGCACCGACTGCTGCCACCGACGCCAATCAGTTACCTTCGAAGACTCCGCCCTCTTCACGAAAGAGAAAGCCATTCACTCGAGAGAACAACTCACCTCCACCTTCACAGAACGAGCCGAACTCCTCCACTCGTCGGTCTAAGCGGCAGAAGGTTTCTGAGCCAGCGCCCGACGTACCGGCCGCTCATACTCCCTCATCTTCTGCACGTAGGCGCAAAGGGAAAGCTCCAGCTGCTATGTCTAGCCCTGCTGGGTGAGTTTGCACCGCGCCCACGGGATTCACCGTCTTTATACCATGTGATGCTAATTTTCGTTTGTGCCAGCTCCGACCCACCCCCGCCTCCCACAATGCAGGACCCTTCAGCTTCAGCCTCCTCGAGCCGAAAGTCGAGTCGCACCAAAAAAGGTGGCCAAGCAAATCAAGGTATGGGATACTCCCGGCTCCTAAAGATGGAGTTTAGATACTGATATTTTCTCATTCCGAATAGACTCTACTACAGCAGGCACCTCCCACTCTACTCGGCGATCGAAGCGTACATCTAGCAACCACCCGCCGCCTTCTGATCAAGACACCACTATGACTGGGACAGAAGAGCATGGAAAAGAGGCAGAGGCACCGCCACCGCCACCGCCGCCTCCTCCTGCACATGATCCGGCAGACGACGATAGTGATGAAAACGATGATGACGATGACGACCATGACCCACATCGCCATTACGGCGACGATGACCCGTTCGGCGGGTTTGGCGGCCCTCCAGGTTCTGGTCTCTCCAGTACGCTTAGGGCTCTTACTGGGATGATGTCGGGGATCTCGTCGAGGCTACGTGATATTCTAAACAATCTTAGGCAGAAGGGAGATCCGTCGATACAGTTGATTGCTCTACAGGAGCTTTCCGAGATTCTCTTAGTCTCCAATGAGGATAATCTGTCGGGGCACTTCTCGCCCGACGCTTTCGTAAAGGAGCTGGTGACGTTGATGCAGCCCAACGAGATGACGGGAGAAGAAAGTCCAGAGATCATGCTGCTCGCCTGCCGATGTCTTGCAAACTTGATGGAAGCTCTACCGGCCAGCGCCGCCAACGTAGTGTACGGTGGTGCTGTTCCTGTTCTGTGTCAGAAACTTCTGGAGATTCAATTTATTGACCTGGCGGAGCAAGCACTGAGCACATTGGAAAAGATCTCGGTGGAGTATCCCACAAGCATTGTGCGCGAAGGCGGCTTAACCGCATGCTTATCTTACCTCGACTTCTTCGCAACAAGTACTCAGCGGACAGCCGTTACTACTGCTGCCAACTGCTGCCGCAACATCCCAGAGGACTCGTTCAACGTGATCAAGGAGGTCATGCCAATTCTCCTTAATGTGCTTGGGAGCAGCGACCAACGCGTTGTGGAACAAGCGTCCCTTTGCGTCACTCGTATTATTGAGAGCTTCAAGTACCAGCCATCGAAGCTGGAGCAGCTCGTCAGCGTGGATCTGCTTAGGGCCATATTGCGACTCTTGGTCCCCGGAACCACCAATCTCATTAGTGCCAACATCCACACGCAGTTCCTCCGTGTTCTGGCCATCACAGCCCGCGCGAGCCCACGCTTGTCGGCGGAACTGTTCAAGATGAACGTGGTTGAGACTCTCTATCAGATCCTGACTGGTGTGTCCCCTCCGAGCGAGACGGAAGACGTCGCGTCGAAGCTTGACAGCGTGGTCATAATGCAAGCATTGATCCATCGTCCCCGTGAGCAAATCATCGAGACTCTTAACGTCGTCTGCGAGTTGCTTCCGGGTTTGAAGTGGAACGATGCCTCTGCAATCCAAGTCCCCCTTGATCTTGATATCGCCGAACCTATTACCCCGTCATCACTTGGATCCCGTAAGAAGTCATCCTATGACAAGAGGATAGAGCTGCTCGACGAGTGTAAGGACCAAGTACGCAGGTTTGCGTTGATTCTCTTCCCGACCCTGACAGACGCATTCTCGAGTACAGTAAACTTGAGCGTTCGCCAGAAAGTCCTGACTGCTCAGCTGAAAATGCTATCGAACTTAGACCGGGACATTCTCGTCGACGCACTGAAGTCCGTTCCTTACGCCTCCTTCTTAGCCGCCATATTATCACAACAAGATCACCCATCTCTTGTGATGTCCGCCATCCAGATTACAGAGCTGCTGTTAAGTCGGCTTGATGACATCTACCGGTACCAGATCTATCGCGAAGGCGTCATCACCGAGATAACCAAGTTGGCGGCTGAGTACCGTGAGCCAGAGACCAGGCCGGCTGAGACGTCTACTGACCAGAGTATGGCATCTGGGGATGACGGAGATAGGGTGTCGATTCACAATGACTCCGAGGACGAAGATGAAGACGAGGACCACGAAGATGACGAAGATGAAGAGAATGACGATGAGGACCAGGAAAACGAACATCACAGCGACAATATGTCCGGATCGCCAGTTAGTTCTGATGGATCTACCATGTCTCTTGATGGACCACCCCGCCTTTTCGTTGGAGACATTCCTTCCATAAAGTCCCGAATCGCTGAGGCTGCCAAGAAATTCATGGAAACTCACGAGACGGAAAAGCACGGCAAAGCAATGAAGAAAAAGGCGGGCAGGATCCTTGACGGTCTCCAAGCCCTAGCATCTGAGATCGAGGCCTTTTACCTTCAACGAACTGCGAAGGACCTAGCTCCTGAGAACGGCACTGTGATATTTGAGAAGTTAGCATCATATTTTGACGTCGACGTCTTGGACAGTGTAACCAGTGCAGAGTTGCTCGCTTCCGGCCTCGTCCGTGTTCTAGAAGAGGTCTTCAGCAATCCGGACGAGACCCTGGCCAATGCTGCAAGAGCTGCGTTCCTTGAGGTCTTCATGGGTCGATCTATCACTTCAAGGCCGAAGGCTATCACGGTAGATTCCGCGGCGACCCCTTTCAGTGTCA